TTACGATTCATCGGGTGCGTTAAATCGCCAAAGTCCGTTCACCACAACTGCACGGACTGACAATATATTGTGTGTTTGTTTTGCTTTAGAACATGTCTACTATAAATTTTCTGGATTATTTTATTTTTTGTGTGAAATGCTATAAAAATATATGTCGTAATATTACAGAGAAAATATTAACTTCAAATCTGTGTCCTAGTACCTTTAAAGATTAAATTCCTGATTTACGGTCTATGTGATTTATAATATATGAATTTAATTCTTAAAATAGCTTATAAAAAGAAATCGTTAAAACGAGTCAATTTTTAAATTGTTATAACGAATTCAACAATTTTTTGTAACGGATTAAATTCGCTATAAGGATTGAATTCATTGAAATTGATATAATTAATTAAAAATTTATTTAACAATAATTTACATATTATACAATACTCAGTATTCGTTATATCGGATTCAGTAATATTTTTTGATAGGTCCTAATTGGCGATCTCAATAAACTTCTGACTAAAATATCAATCCATAGTTTTCTCAGACGATTGTCTGACCAGTTGCCCCCCCCCCCCCCCATTTTTCCAGTTATGTTCTGTGGTCTTAAAATAAGTGTTAAACATTTTATAAAAGTACTCTTTATAAATTCATCTACCATCAATTATTATTGTATAAATATAGAGAATATCGCCTTGAACATCAAAGTCGGTATATAATGCCATCGTTTCCTCATCCCTCTGCATACCTCTGATTTTTTTTTTCCAATGGCTTACTTTTCTAAATACTTTCGGGCGGTTGATATTCAAAATGATGGTGTTGTAGAAGCTACAAAAATGACAGAGACAACAACACAGTAAAGAAGAAATTTAACAACATCAAACAAAGAGGTTTCTTTTTGTTTTTTAATTTATTCGTTTAATTCTTGTAGGATTCGTTTAGACTTTTGATGATTATTTTAAATTTGTTTTGTTGATTTCCATTTTTTGTCAGTGCAAAACTTCATCTAAACTTTATTGTTATCATTGTTGCTATCACTTTGGTTAAAGTTTATGCTAAACGGAAACGGTGACGTACCATCGTTTCTGAAATTTGGGTAGAGGTAGCCAGAGAGAGAGAAGGGGGGGGGGGAGAGGAAGAGAAAAGAAAAACTTGTCCAAACTCTGATATCCTATTGGAGGGAGGCTCAATTTCTATAGTATAACGTTATGGCTGGAAAAAAGGGACCCCCCCCGCCCCTTGCTACTTGCTGAGAAATACACTTTACTGTTACATGTATGTATAAAAGGTAATACTAACACAATCATGGACACAATTTTCATAAAGTTTTTGTTCTTTGTAAAAGTAGTAAATTGGAAAAGGATATTGTTGCATGAATGAAGCAAATTACATTTTTTAATTTTTTTTCTGGATGAATGAAAATGAATGAATATGTACGAAAACCCACTGAGCTCATTTTCGTAGGTTAAAAAATATTTTTTTTTCACGTTATAATGAGATTTAGAAACAGGAAAGACATATCTCATCCTCAGAATATACCTCTAACGGATTCATTCGGTCTCGTATTACTCTTTTTGAAATTCTACAAATATGTCGCATTTGTCGCCGGCGGCGCCGTTTATGTCGTCTGTGAGCATCCATTTTTATTGCTTGAGTATTTGCTTGAGAAAGGTCAAGATCTACCTCAAATTATTTGAGTACGTAATCAAATTTTTGACTTGAATATGTACTCAAATATTTGGTGGCGGTGACTTGAGGCTGAGATTATGGGTTTGAGAACTTTGTCAGAGTTGAGGCTGAGTTTTATACTCAACTACTTTTGGTGGCGGCGGGGCCTGGTACTATCACTCTAATTGCAAAATCAAAGTGCCCCAGCAATTGTAAAAGTTCCAATTTTGAGCATGACTTTTTCCTTAAAAGTTCATGAATAAATTTTGCAATACGCTGTACTTTCTTGCTTGAGAAAGGTTATCAAAAATCCTTGGGCTTGATCGGGATCCAAATGGTAATCTAACACAAAAGTAGTAGTTCTTGTTCCATTTAAAACCCAGAAATTGCCACTGTTCCGGTAACACAGGAATTTGCTTGAAAGCGTCTTGAATGTCTGTTTTACATAAAATTGACCCTTTTCCATATTCTTGAATGTGTTGAATAGCATCATCAATTTTAACATACGAAAGTGAGCATTTTTCTTTGTCAATTAAACTGTTGATGCTTTCATGATGCTTTCATGATTTGGGTCATTATGGGGTGACGATAAATCTAAAATGAGCCTTTTCTTTCCTGAGTATTTTCCAAGAGCTATACCCACTGGACTAATTCTATGTAACTTGAATGGAGAGGATATAAAAGGGCCTATGACAAAACCTTTCTCCACTTCGGCCCTTATGAGACTATCAACTGTCTGGGGGTCTTCACGAGCTGATTTCAGATTCCTACTTTCTTACTGGTATGAATTTCCTCTTCATTTATAAGAATGTCAAAACCGTTAGTTAGACTGTCAATCAAATAATTTACAAAAGTTTTATCAGGATGTTCGTGTAATTCACTATCCAAACGAGGAATATTTATTGGTGTAGACACTTTGAAATCTAGTCATTTTGCAGGTGGTAATTCTGTATTCTTTCCACTGGCTTGAGGCGAACTTTCTGTTTTCCTTTTCCTATATTTCGTCACACTATGAGCCTGGTAGCATATACAACAGACATGCTGGAACTTGCATTCTGTTCTAAAGCAGCCCCTTTCGCTGTTATAGTTGTTGCACAGTTCCTTTCCCTGGTGGTATCTTCTTGGTACTTCTTCCGTGCATGTCAACCTCTCTGTCTATTTTTCTTTGAACTTTCTGTTCTTTATAACATTACACATAAGTGTGCTATGTGCTGTCGAACCACATCTTTCGCACTTTGTTACACTTTGTTACACTGCACAGACTCTCATTAAAAGGTCAGGGTCTCCAAATGCCCAATGTATTTAATATGATACTGTAATAGAGCTGTCGAGGCTTTGGCAGAGAACAACTTGTGATACTCGTAAAATTGTTGCCCCCAAGTAGAATACACATCAATAATGTGGGACAGGTATCCGTCTAATTCTCTACTTCTTTGAGGAAAGGTTTCGACCATGATGGATTTATAAATTGTAAATGCCTTAACAAATTCGCCGATGGATAAAGTTCTGTTCAAACGCTCATCCTTCTCTTCATCTTTCTTGGTTTTTGGGGCTATGTAATTTGATAATAAAAGTTTACACATGTTAACGTCCTTACCCGATATTATTTCTTTCCGTACAGTCGGTGATACTGCCATGACATGTTGTAAGTCAGGGGATGGGACGCCATTCGCACTCGTCTCCTTCATGGTACTTTTGAACAAATTCGGGTGCATTTGGGTAGACGTTAATTGCTCTGGTGATCCAGCTGCGAAAGTCGCACTGCTTCGGTTTTCATAGAAATTGCGTAAAGAGTAATCTTCTTCTTCTTCTTTATCTTTAGTTGACTGTTGGATAAGTTTCACTGTCTCCTGTAATGCTACAGCAGTAGACATCAACACCGAATTTTCATTGTTTACGTTTTTCTTCGGAACTGTGTTGCTTGGTCTCGTTGGCGCATGCGCATTTCCGTCAGTGTACGTTGAGGCCCTGACATGGGTTAGTACATATGTTTCAGCAATAGAGGAAGCGGATACTTCGTCTACACGTTCAGTGGTATTAGTAGACTGTGGTACTATGTTTCTATCTTCATTCCTTGCCACACTTGGTATATTATGAGCTAATTCACTATGTACTGTTTCCCCATCGGTGCTCCTGTTTTTCTTTTCTTTGTTATCTAACCACAGTTTAACTAGTATTTTATGGGGAATAGCATGATTAATATCTATACCGCAAAGTTTTAGTTCATTTTTCAATTTATCAGCTGTCCAGTTGTTAGGATCGTCAACAGATTCTGTCCTACGAACCCTGGATCTTGATCTAGTGCGATTCATGGCGGGGTCAAAGTCCAAAGGCACGGATCACTAATTCAGAATAAAAACACTATCACATGGTAAACACGTGTAGTAATTCCAATATAAGCAGTATGTCAGCGTAATGAAATATCCGAGAATAATTCAAATGGTAAGTAAATGAAAGTTATAATAGCTTTGTAAAACTACAGAATCACGATGCTGCCAGCCATAGCGTCATTATCAGAAAGAGGCTGGGTATTTTCCCTCCGTAACTTTGTCATCTATGGGGCGCCCGACGGGGAAATCTTCCGCTACGGGGCCTCATTAAGGAAATGAATGTGTTTATCTGTTTTCCTGGTATAAACTCAGTTTATACCTTCATAAACTTTAATTATATTGCCTGCTGTTGAAGATTGACTTTCATTCCTTATTTCCTCAGCAATTTGAAAAAATCGCAGAATAAATTACCATATTTCTTAAAAGTCGGTCTCCGCCAATGTCTTTCAATATCTTACATTTTTAGGCTGCTATGCATTTTTAATTATTTATTTCGTGAAAAAGATATAACAAAAAAGTGCTGATAAAATGTAACACCGTCACGCAGAAACAAGAGCATTATGGAATAACAGGATATTCGAGTATATTGACATTCTCACACAAGATAAAATTGATGCAACATCACAAAAAGAATGTTTACCTTTTGTCTGCGGTGGTTGGACCAAAAAAAGTTTCTTTCTCTCATAGCTTTGCAGTTGTATCATTCATCGAAAACTCAGACTTCATATGCATTCTCCAATGGTAATCTCATTTACTTTTAGAGTTATTATGTTTTAAAATAAACTTGAAAATTACATTTTTAGTTCATGATATACCGAAATCAGTTTGCATTCACTCAGCATAAACTGTTTGGCTAGGTGTGTGGTTGATTATACATGTATTAATTAAAACGACAATGTTGCAAATGCATATATTTTTTAAGACGAAAAAAATATGTAAAACATGCCTTAATGGGCAGCCTTACTTTACTTCCTTATAGTTGTGGCCCAGTAATGGCTGATGTACTCCAAGATCTGAAACGTAAAAGAAAGGTATTCCTAATGTTGTGATAGACTTTTATTTAGAAAAAAGATAATTATAAGATGAACCATGTTCCAAGCCAGAACACGTTTTATTTTTTACAGGTAAAATGTTATGTCTACTCCAGCATAATATATGCCTGATTATTTTCATTATTTAAATGTTTTGATCAACGTTAACATGTCAGTGTGAAATAATGAAGTTTATACTTATTTCCATTTTTGGACAAAAAAATGCCACTCCATACTATAAACAAAAATAAATATAAAACGTCACAATATCATCATTTAAGTGCAACAACGATAATGCAAGTGGGTCAATAGCCCTGGAAGCTTATACACAAAGTCAACACGATATCCTATTGTGTGCATTTTCCTGCACTGATTACCTCAGGAAAGTAGTGCACTTGTCAGGGCTTGTCTTGATAATTATAGAGTCGATCATGTACATCATCAGTATAGAAGAATTGATATTTCCTTACATGAACAATCAAAAAATTCAAATTCTAAGGCCATTAATGAAAAAAAAAATCCTTAAGAATTGATACATCATTTAGAAAAATATAGAAAACTAGTGCTAATTGTAACGGGGACCGTTGCAGATGTTCCCCAAACGCTCCCGAAATCCCTTTTATTGCATAATTCCTGTAAGACATTTAAAAAAAATATGATCAGTATCGAAGGATTTCATCAAAGAATTATAAAAGCTACATGTACAATGATATCAACTATATGTCATTTAACGCATTATACGCGCGCGCACGTACATGTACATGCAAGATGATCATGGCATGTTGTCTAAACAATTAACATCTCTATATATCGTGAGAATAAATAAAAAATTCCTTACAAAATACGTTTTAATGTTTTTTAAAAATATTGGCCATTTTGCGTATTTCGCGCGCGCACGCGCATGAATGCATGTTCGTGCATTCAATTTTGATAGTACCATTATGTAGGAATCCATTATACCTATTCATATTCTAAATCTTATCCCGTTTCGTAGAAAACTAAGAAAGTTATAGACATTTAAACTTTCAGCCAATCAGATTGCAGCAGGTGCATGCGCATGCTTTTCATGAAAATTCTTATATACCATGCTGTAGGTCTTTATAATGTATAACCATGTTCAAAATTTCAAAGGATTTTGTCGAAAAACAAGAAAGATATTGAGACTTTAGTTTCAGCAAATCAGAGCGAAGCGCACGTGCATGCGCGTGAGATCTTGCTATTTTGACCATGTCATCTTGTCTATGCTACTAATATATCCTCATATTACGAGTTTAACAGCATTTCATCAAAAAAAAAAAAAGTTACAGATATATTCATTATATTGGTCATTTCACGTGTTGCACGTGCACGCTCTTCCAAGCATGCACGTTCGTGTTCTGGTATTTACTCCTATCCATAAATTAATATTTAGAACACGAAAGTGTTTTCTCCGGGAAAATGCCTTTTGTTTGCCCTTCGAACCTAAATGACCTCGGGCAAACCGTCAGTTTGGTGGTTAGGTCCAACAGAATGCATGTTGCTCTCGAAACCAGTCAATAAATGTTGTGTTCGTCTTAACGACTGTATCTTGAATTATATTATCGCAATATATTTATATCGTTAATATTTACATTAACATCACAATCTTGTAAAACATGATTGAAAGTTTTGATAAAACATGATTGAAAATTCAAAACAAACTGATTGTTCTTGACATTAAATTATCTAGACGTGTTTATTTAATATTAACCATGGTCACGTGTCCATCATAATTTTTTATTACAAATTTTTAAAATTGATTGAAATAAACAGATGGTATTTAAAGAGGCGGGGGGGGTTGGGGGGTTGGAAGCCATTTTCAGACTATTTTCGATCTCCTCTAAAAGAAGAGCTCCATATAAAGATATACAAAAATGATCAAATTTTAAAACTAAAATGTATGAATTTTTTCTTTGCCAAATGATAGTTGACAACTTAAGATACCGTATCTCAAAAAAAAAAGGTAAATCTGGTGGTTAATTTGTTGACCCCCCAGCCACCTTAAATTGAATTAGTAGTGCTATCACGGTAAATGTTAATATATTTTTATATAAGATTATATTAGATGACAGACATGCATGTACATGTACTCGTAACTAATTGAAAATATGACTAATGTATAATACCTATGTTAGCACTTCTTGAAAGAAAGCAAATAAGAGCTTATAATTTCTTCACTGATCTACGTACACATCATTTAATTGTGCAAATCCTTTCTATTCTGGCTGTCTGCATAAAACAATAAATTATTGAAATTGACTGTTATTTATAAAACAAAACCTGCACCAGTTTTAGAATTTCACACTTTAATACACAGCATCATTGTATTTGTGTACCCCATTCAATTTAAATACTGTATTTATGTAAGTCAACATCTTTTTCTTGTATTTTCAAATATTTCTTTAAACTTTATTTTAACAGGTTTTGTTTCAAAATCAAGGAGCAAAATGGAAGAAAAGAAAGGAGACAACAAATGTGTTCCGAACACCTGGCACCTTGTTGCCGAACCCTGGAATGTCTCCATTCGGAACAATGAATGACGCTTTCTGCACCTTTCGTCCCACAGATTCGAGATGGTCTTCGATTCCGAGTATGACGTCAACAATGAACGGAAACCCTCTTGCCCTCGCATCCTCCTTGCCTCGACAAACATCCCTGGGTCAGTCTTTTGGGTCTCAGGTCCCATTCACGGGCCTCCAAGAAGCTTGCTCTACGATTGCAAGCAACATTTCAATGCCAAATAATGGTGCTTCGCTGCACAGCACGTGCTTCGGTGTTCCACCTGTTAGCTGTGCTTCTCCTCTTTCAGCAAGTTCTAATTCTCCGCCGATTTCCCATCCACAAGTGAATTGTGGGATGCAGGAAGTGGAAGATGTTTGGAGGGGCACCAGTATAGCAGAGCTGCGCAGGAAGGCTTTGGCGCATACAGCAACGCTTTCAGGTTACAAGTGAAGACATTTTCCCCAAGTAACACTTTAAATTTGAAATGCAGTGCAGTATAGAGTGAAAGTTTTAAATTAAAACAAATGTACTGTTTATTATTTATAATTGAAGACCATATTTTATTGATTAGAGCTTTATATGTTTAATGTAGGCTAAATGCGACATGGTCTTTAATTGTACAATGTAGAAGACATCCAGGAAAAAAAAAACAACAAGCATTTTTTGTGTACCTCTCTGACAAAAAGATGGTTTAAATTTATTTAAATGTCAATTAGATCTATTAAGCTGAGTTGTATTCTTAGCAGAAAGTTACTTCTATTGGACAAAGGCTTATGTATTTTACTTCCAATGAAAAACACATAACTGAGTTTTTTTGTCAAACAGCTAAAAATTGTACACATATGCTTAGATACACTGTCTCTCTATGGATATAACATTGATACTAAATTCAACCTCCTCAGAAGGTTAATGCTTGTTATGATGCAACGGATAGAAATACTAATTACATATTAAATATACAATTTGGAATTTTTTCTTCTTTTTGTAAACTTAATATAAAATGTTTTATTTGAAATTGTATTATCTATTGCAATATTTTGCTTTTTTATTACCTCGATCCATATGCATCTTCGCCAAGAATACTTAGAATTTCTTTTATTTATTTTTGTTTTTCATCTAATATGTATATACATTTTAATTTTTGATTTTCTTAAGGTATGAGAAAATATTCTTCAACTGTTTCTTTATCTTGGTAAGATCGAAAATATTTATTATCATTACAAGCGAATTTAGAGTTTAAAAAGCACTCTGTATAGTAGCATATTATCAGATAATATGTATGGAAAAAGATTTCTAAACTAGTTTCAAAATGTATAAAAAAATGTTATACATGTCAAGTGATTTATAATTATTTTACTAAAAATATTTAAGAAATCTTACTCAAACCCAGTTGATAAACCTTAATTCTTCTTGAGAAATCTTGTTAAAGTAATTTTACGTTCAATCGTCACAAATTTTAGTAGAAAATTACTTGCACACACATGTATAAGAGGAACGTACAGACAAGCCTTGTAATTGAAGCGCATATAGAACCAGAAACAATGAAATCCAATACCATTTAAGCTATAAAAGAAGACTTTATATATATATATATATATATATATATATATATATATATATATATATATATATATATATATATATATATATATATATATATATATGTACACCATCATTTATGTAGTTAAGCACATCGTTGTGTCATGTTGTAAATTTTGTATTTATCAGGTGACAGTAAATTGATACAAAATTTACATGACATTTCAAAATTTACGTAATGCTAGTTGTGTGGAAATGATGGCTTTCTTCATTGAGTACCATGAATCAAATTTTCTCTAAGACCTTCGGTTGTATATCATTGAATGTATCAGTGCCATCCTTGTTGTTTATTGGAATTGTTGTTTTCTATGTATCATGATTGTATGTCACAATATTGTATGATAAACTCTATAAGATGTAAAAAGGAATAAAATAAAAACAATCAAAATGAACTAAGGTCTTGCTTGTGATTTAAGAAATTCTAGCTGTATATGTTATATTTCCTACAATTATTCTAAAAATCTTAAAATTAATTTTATGTTCAACCAATATGATTTAATCAAATATAATTGTTAATAAGTAAGTAAGTAAATTATTTATTATAGTGACATGTGTATTGTTACAGTAATACAATATATTTTACAACAATAAGTTTAGTTTCTTACACCCGGCCCAAAGGACCTATACGTTACTGTTAATATTTTAACAATTTATATATACAAAGGCACATAATGAAGATAAATGATATTAGAATGTTCTTTTTATGAAGTTCTGGCGAGTTTTAAAAGCATCAAATATAAAGTTTGCAGATTGTCTGGGAAATTTACATAAAATATCTGAAAAGAATGTGTCATCTAAAGACAAATCTGATAAATTTTTAAATCATATTTTACGAAAGAAGTCTATCCTTTCAATTTCATATAATTTGCAGTGTAATAAAAAATGTTTTTCATTTTCGATTTCAGTATTGTTACAAAACTGGCAAATTCTATCTTGGGGTGGCTCAGATTTATAACGTCCGGTTTCAATTCGGAGTGGTAATACACCGCAACGAAACATTGCCATGACTGATCTTATCGGTTTTGTCAAATCCATAGAAACGTAATCCTCCAATTTGTATTGATTTTTAAAGAGACGGTAAGCTCTTAGTTTGGATTGAAGATTTTTTGCAAATCTTCAATCCATTGTGTTTTAATCTGTAGACAGAGGAGTCTTTCGGCAAGTTCTAAGCTGCAAATTGATAAATTTGTGTAGATATCTGGCATATTTAGAGAATCAAGAAGTAATTTAGTTTTTGAATCCAGTTCGTTTTGTTATTTTGTTCCCTATCCTATAGAAAAATTTTCTTTGTCCGACGGTCGTTTTCTAATGTCATCAGACGATTCCATAATCGCAAGACGTTAATCTGCTGTCGAAAGTAGCATGGCATCCAACCACATTCGCCTTGGATTGCAATCAATGGTGTGAATCGGTGTACTCCTAGAATATACCGTAAGGCGCGGGACTGCACCGTCTCTGTACAATAATAATTTGTGGTTCCCCAAACTCCGCTGCAGTAGTCCAGAATGGGAGCAACACAGTTGAGATATAACTTTTCGAACGTTTCGAATCCGACCATTTTTAAGGAGTGAATTTTAGATATCATAGATCCGAGAGCTCGTCCTCCAGATTTTCCTAAATTTTCCGCATTTCTTTTAAAATCACTTCTCATCAAAGATTACTTCTAAATACTTGTAGAAAGGTTCATAAGTTAAATTTTCTCCTCCTAGATAAAATGTATGAATACTTCTTTTTTGCGTTTTTTCCGAAAGTGAACTATTTTGGATTTGTTTGGATTGATTCGAAGACGCCATTTTTTACACCACGAGTCCACAACATTGAGCATGTCCTGCATGTTCTTTTCATTCGGAGAAATAATTGCGATATCGTCCGCATACAATAGAATACTTAAGTTAAGATTTTCGTCAATCTGTACTCCTTTATTTAATGCTTTAATGGCTGTAGCGGTTCTTTAATATGAGTGTGAGTACGGTTAAACCCAATCCATTTAAACCCATGCTCTGTTAAGTCTATACCATCTTCATTAACTAAGTGTGTTTCGTTCTACCCAACAATATCACAATTAATATATTTTATTATTTCAGTTCTTAATTGTTCATTTGATCTTGTCCATCCACAAACATTTAAATGTCCTATGCTTAGACTACCTGTGGGTCGGGTTCTGTCCTACTCATCCTCGTGATCGGAGAGAACATCACTGGTCTGTTCAACTTGCGGTTGCTTTTTAACAATTCTGCCGTTTGCTGTAATTCGAAACTGCTTGCCGTGTGGCATTTCGTTTAAGATAGTGGGTGCATTAAGTTCGATGCCTTCAGTATGGATTTTACTAGATCTGAGAAAGACGGTTTTGAACTTTTCTATTTCTCGGAGTTTACGCTTTTCCCGTAACACAGCCTTTTTTTCAGTGAGAGAGGATACCGAGATCTTTACAAGGCCTGGTTTGTTACCCCTGTTTTTCAAGCGGCATGCTACCACGACGTTTGCACTGTCGTCAAGATGACCTATGATTTCTCGCGCAACATCAAGAATTTCCTCCTCTCTATCTCATTTGACATTAGTTGCAATAAGTGTCACACTAGGGTCATCTAGTGGGTTTATGGGACATTTTGCCGTGTTTACATTTTCAGGTGAAGGACAATCTACTTGTTCAACATTTTCTAACCGGTTAACAATAGAATCAATGCTCCGTGACAAAATATTGATCTCATTTTTATGAATAGCAAGTTCAAGGTCAATGTCCGTCTTCATTGCTTTGAATTTTTCATCTATACTACTCATGAAATCATTTCGAAACTTGTCAAGTTTACTTTCGATCATTGCCTGTAAAGAACTCTGCCCTTTCTGCAATCTGTCAATAGCTTTGACTATGATAGTGAACCGGTCGACGATATCGGGTTCTTCGGATTCTCCGTCCCCATGAGAGCTACCTGTGTTACCTTTGCTACCGCCTTCCGCCATTTTGACTGACTTAGCTACTGGCTTCGGTGTTTTACCATCTGAAGACAGCCTTCGTTTACCGTCTGACATATCATAAGACCTATTTCTGAATAAAATCAAGTCTCTCAACGGTACTTACAAGTCTTAACTGTGATAAAGACGCTTTTAAACACCAGAAAACTCCATCGAAAACGCACAAATCTGAACACAGCCTATCTCCACGCATGCTCCCTCTCGTTAATTATAATGACACATTGTGGAAAAACATACAGTTCTATTTATCATGACGTCTTTTTGTTACAATAAATTTACATAATTCAGAATGAAGAAAGACGAATGTTTTACAATTCATTTAGTAAATTCTATTCACAGTTATGTATACAATAAATCATACATTGTATAATTTTATTTCATTTATTATTTTATTACTCGTTATTTGTTCATAAAATTTCTCTTTAATTAATACATTGTAAAATTATCATGAATAAATGGTAAATAAATTAATATGCTTCTAGTCTGATCGATAGTTTGTAACAAAAATTGACACCTACCTTCTACCTCCCTATTGTAATATATCAGCAGTGAATACTGTCAAGATTTCCCTAAACATAGGACACTTAAATCTAATATACTAAAGGAACAAAAAGGTAAGATGGATACCGGAAATGCTAGAAATTGCAGACTTTGTTATAATTTTAAGGTCACACGCAACGAACTTTATTTGGTTCTTCCCTGGAGTTCCACTGAAGGACCTGTGTGCAATTTTTTTAATGTCTATATATGATTTTGTACACCTCTTCTGAAACAATTTTTGATGAAAAAAAAATCTGGAATTTTTGTTTTGGAATTTTTGTACATTTTTCTTTGAATAATGCAAAAATTTTCAAAATTTGATATCTTTTCAAAAACCTTGGTAACGCATGCTGATTTTTTTTTGTCCAAGAACATGTAATGGTATTATAAGTTTAAATTTAGAATATCTTGAAAAATTATCAGTAGGTAAGGTACCTTGCGTTTGTCCTTAACATTATATAATTAGTATACTTTCCCTTCAAATTTTATTTGTCACTTGGCACTTTTGGGAATTTGATTTCTTGTAATATAAGACGTCTGCGTGCAAGGGATGTTCATTTTGAAGTGTCCAGTAGCATCATTCTGATATTTAGAAAATAACTCTGATAATGAAAAAATATTGGCAACCCCACGTGCAGCTTAACCGGAAAAATACTTATACATACTATGTATGACTGACATAGATATTGAAACTTGCCTTCTTGTTGGAGTGCATCGGCAGTAGTCACGGTCACGTGTCGAAGTTCTATAAAATGGAAACTAAAATTACTACATGCAATTGTAAATGTTAAGTTCTATAGCTTGTATAGATGTGACTAAAGACATTTCTTTTCATTGTTTCCTTGGCTTTAAGAATGTAACTGTGGAATGTCATTGCTTCTCATTTCTCTTATCATTTCTTATCAGTAAAATTGCGAGCATGCAGTTCACCACATTCAAAAATGAGATTTCATTGGTTAGTTCGAATAAGTGTATCTATATCACAATTCAAGTAAAAACTAAAACTAAATACAAAAGCTAAGGGAAAGACATATTGGTAGAAAATTTACAGATAAAGATTATCACACCAATTGTACCTTGTCAACAAATACACTCTATCATTGAGTCGAATGCTGACTGACGTTTTTCATACCATTATTTACACACTTAATTGTCGACGGATTTTCCCGTTATTTCTCGACCATGACAGGGGATGCTCACTCCATCACAGCACCTCTGATGTTTAGAGGCTGGTGTTTGCTCTGCTCCAAAATTTATATGGACCTCGGACCTTGAATGCTCTTCGTTATTTCCATATATTTCTTTTCATTCATTCAGGTTCACCCTATGCGTAAACCATTATTGCGTTAGCTAACAATTATTGAATATCTTGCAATAATTAAGGATAAAATATGGTTTTATGTTGTTTCAATAGATAATAAAACAAATTGATAATGTATTTTGATTTAAGGGTTGCATTCGATTGAGAGATTGTATGGTAAGGTTTTCCAATGAATTAGAAAAGAGAAGTAACTTCTGAAAATGTTCCATCATTGTAAAACTGCATGCAAGGGCGTAAGCTGGGATGAGTGTTTTGGGATTATATTGCCTGCTGTTGAAGAATGACTTTCATTCCTTATTCCCTCAGCAATTTGAAAAAATCGCAGAATAAATTACCATATTTCTTAAAAGTCGGTCTCGGCCAATGTCTTTCCATATCTTACATTTTTAGGCTTCTATGCGTTTTCAATTATTTTTTTTCGTAAAAAAGATAGAACAAAAAAGTACTGATAAAATGTAACACCGTCACGCAGAAAGAAGGGCATTATGGAATAACAGGATATTCGAGTATATTGACATTCTCACACAAGATAAAATTGCGGCAACATCACAAAAACAATGTTCACCCTTTGTCTGCGGTGGTTGGACCAAAAAAAGGTTATTTCTCTCATAGCTTTGCAGTTGTATCATTTATCGAAAACTCAAACTTTATATGCATTCTCCAATGGTAAGCTCATTTACTTTTAGAGTTACAGTATTATATTTTAAAATAAACTTGAAAATTACATTTTTTCAGTTCATGATATACCAAAATCAGTTTGCATTCACTCAGCATTAACTGTTTGGCTAGGTGTGTGGTTGATTATACATGTATTAATTAAAATAACAATTTTTCAAATGCATATATTTTTTTAAAGATAAAAAATATGTAAAACATGCCTTAATGGACAGCCTTACTTTACTTCCTTATAGCTGTGGCCCAGTAAAATTCACAAATGGCAGATGTACTCCAAGATCGGGAACGTGAAAAAAAGGTATTCCTAATGTTGTGTTAGACTTTCATTTAAAAAAATAATAATTATAAGATAACCCATGCTTCAAACCAGAACACGTTTTATTTTTTACAGGTAAAATTTTATGTCTACTCCAGCATAATATATGCCTGATTATTATCATTATCTAAATGTTTAGATCAACGTTAATATGTCAGTGTGAAATAATGAGGTTTATACTTATTTCCATTTTTGGACAAAAGAAATGTTTAACGTCACAATATGCATATTTAAGTGCAACAGTGATAATACAAGTGGGTCAATAGCCCTGGAAGCTTATACACAAAGTCAACACGATATCCTGTTGTGTGCATTTTCCTGCACCAATTACGTCAGGAAAGTAGTGCACTTGTCAGGGCATGTTTTGATAATTATGGAGTCGATCATGTACATCATTAGTATAGAAGAAGTGATATTTCCTTACATGAACAATCATAAATTTCAAATTCAAAGGCCATTAATGAAAAAAAAACCCTTAAGAATTGATCAATCTTTTAGAAAAAAATACAAAATGTAGCTTATAAATGTTATAGTAAAATCCGTAAGAATTGATAAATCTTAAGAAAAATATACAAAATGTAGCTTATAAATGTTATAGTAAAATCCGTAAGAATTGATAAATCTTTTAGAAAAATACATAAAATGTAGCTTATAAATGTTATAGTAAAATCCATGAGAATTGATTAATATTCTTTTAGAAAAAATATACAAAATGTAGCTTATAAATGTTATAGAAAATCCGTAAGAATTGATAAATCTTTTAGAAAAATATACAAAATGTAGCTTATAAATGTTATAGTAAAATCCGTAAGAATTGATAAATCTTTTAGAAAAATATACAAAATGTAGCTTATAAATGTTATAGTAAAATCCGTAAGAATTGATAAATCTTTTAGAAAAATATACTAAATGTAGCTTATAAATGTTAAAGTAAAGTCCATAAGAACTGATAAATCTTTTAGAAAAATATACAAAATGTAGCTTATAAATGTTATAGTAAAATTTTAAATACTTTGATTGCCAGTATACTGCTCTACTATATTTATTTTTCCAATGTTTACACAATTTTTAATGGATTAACCAAAAATCCGCAATTTGAAGAAATATACCAGAGCACATTCTACCCTATGATAGACTTTTTTTTGCAAACAGGGTCATTTTATTGATCATAGAACTAGGTAAATGTTGACTTTAATGAAATTGTTGATGTCCTTGTATCATTAACTTTTTTTATCAATAACCTTCCTCGTATTTTTCAATCTTAGGTCATGCGTTTCAGATAACTGAGAGACAAACTCAATATGTAGATGCTTCATTGATCATAAACGTATTGCTACATGCATTGTAAATATGTAAGAGAAATTGACCATAGAAAAGTATGTCATCGCGTTTTTCATAAAGTTTTTATATATCTTATTTACCAGCGATGTTTAGTAAAACATTTAAATATAAAACAGTCTTGTCTGTGTCTGATTCTGTGGAAGAAGTTAACTTAATATTGTCTATACAGTTACTGTAGATAAATCGTCGTCATGTATATAACTGTCAAATTGAGGGCCTTCTTTTTTCCAAAATTCCAATAATAATAATAATTAAATCGAATAAATGCTTCATATCAAATTTTTTAAAAAAGTACTGCTTCTAAGAAGGCAGAATAAGTACCGATGGTAATTCTAATAGATTAATGGAAGATATTGTCTCTAATTAAGAACTACATCTGTAGATGTTGTCAATATCAAATAGAATAAACTGAAGAAAACATTGTTGTTCGTAGAGAAGGCGACTACAGGAGGTTTTTAGAGGGCGGTTTACGGAGGAACAGGCTAGAAGGCTTTTAGAATATCATGAATGGAGTCTAGAACTCACAGTGAACTTCTTATTTACAGGTATTTGGAAATTTCATTTCTTAAATCAATGAATGTTTAAGATTTTAATGAGGTTTTCAAGTTACAATTTAACAATTTACTCAGAGATACATGTACATATGATACCCTTTTTAGACAAACAATCTTTGTTACATAGTAAGAGTTATCCGATATGAAATACAAAGATAATAATCAGTAAGTCCATCGAGTCAAAACAGATCAGGGGCAAAGCAAACACAGACTAAAACATCTGAAGTGGGATAAGATGCCAAGGAGAAGTAAGCATCCCTTTTGGACCACTCACATCAACTGTCTGTCCTTGTCATGATTGAGCAAATGGAAAAATATGCGGATAATTTAGTGTGAAAATAATGACCTTGCAAATATAGTATGAAAATGTCAGTCAGCATGGATTTAGTGATTGTTTTTAATAACACTGGCATTGTATCGGCTATAGAGCTTGCAAAAAATACTAACGTTTAATAAGACGTTAAATAAGACTGTTGATATTCTTTTGCATCAACCTGTTTGTGAATATCTTACCTCATTTTTCCAGACATTATTCGTATCTAAAGTATGCTCTTGCGTATTGAATAAACTGGGACACTGCGGTTAGGCTTTATGCAGGTGTTAATGGTATATTGCTTCATACATGACATAAGTTAAGCTGACATTAGGTATATAGATAGATGACTGGCAGTTCCTTACCTTTTTATTGAATTTCAGAACGTTTACTTTTCAAAGAAATGATTGTGCATAATACACAGGAATCAGAATATAAAGCAAATGGGTACCATAAAGGTTTTTGGTATCGGTGATGGTTAAAAAATTTTATAAAATTTTGCATTTGAGAATAACTAAGCCTTTGTCTGAGGTTCAGAGCAGGTATTTCTGGTTTCATTTGAAGAACTATCCAAAGCACAAGTTTTTCCATTGCAAAGAACAATAAATGTCATCTGAACTAACTCCTAAAAATTGCGATATCTGTCATTTTGAATTTGGGATGCTAAACTATACTTTGAAGCTTACTTAAGCTAGAATGGTTAAACTGTCGGTGAGAACTCTTGCAAACAAAGTTTGGGGAAAAACTTTATAAGGGATTAGCCCATTGGGGTATATAATGAATATCCTTCTGAGTTTCAGATAACCATTGGTGTTCGAGGTTATTCACCTCTTAAAATCGGATTAGGGAGCTTTTATTACTCTTTATTTTTGCGCTCACCAGTTCAGAAAGTAAATGTCATCTTCAACGAATTCATGTTTAACCTTTTTTGATGAGTAAGTAATTGAAAATAGAACAAGATATATATTCGCCTACATATAATAAAAATAATGCGGCTTAGCCTCGTTTAATTTTACCAGGTATTAAATTTTTAATAATATCATTGACGTTGAGTTGCTTTTATTACGTTAACATATGGTTATATTTTTCATATGAAAGCTAGTTTGTCTTCTGAAAAATTTTTCTCTGTATATATGTAGGACTTTGTTGTTATTTGAACTGATAAAATAGACAGCTCGGTTTATTCATAGAAACAATTTGTAGATGATATACCTTAAATTATTTTCTATGTCTGCTTTACAAAACTAACATATATTTTTATCGCAATATCAGCAAACCAAGAGGAAGTTAGGAGAGTTTCCCAAAGCGACGACGAAGGGGTAAAACTTTGCAAATTAAATTACAAGCAATGCTTAAAATTAAATTACAATGTGAACTATATCCTTGCATATACATTCAATATTTTTTTTAAATTTCCACTCATCTTAAAAGTTTTTAAGACTTATTATTGGATTAAGTTCCTTCAAGTTGATAGTGTTTAAGAAAAAAAATGAAGGTTCTGTTGTCGAAAAACACACGACAATATGTAAATTTCCTATACTAAATCCCCGGTACAATTTTGTTTCAGTGGCAGATCGTTTTGAACAACAGGGTTTGGCGGGAGCTTGCCAGACAGGCGCAGATACCGGATATTGACATTCGACAGTTTGCATGCCAAATCTGTAACAGCGTATGGTGGCGCCGTGTTCCGGGAAGAAAACCTGTACGTATGTATGTTTTGAACGCATTAACACGCTTAAAGGTTGTAATGTTTTACAACAATTTGGCTAAATAATGTAGCATATCTATAATAATAATTTTAATTGCATAGTACACCCACATGAAGGGTCAAGAAATACAATATTCATCATAGTAAAAAAAAAAACGAAAACAGAGAACAGTGGATGTAAACACAATGAAAAAATTATGAACAGTTTCATTTATACTGCCTCCTTAAGTTTTGACGGTGTGACCAAAACCATAACATTTATTTCTACGTCTGGATAGTCAAACTGTTGCTCTAAATTTATTTTGCAAATGGTTTCCCTAAAATTTCAAAAATCTCTACCTGAATATATCTTTGTGTAAAATTATTGTCGGGAGAACGTTTCATCTCCTCTTGGCTCAGTCGGGTTCAAACGTCACCAATGGAGTACTCATTCGTAGTGTAGATGGTGTGAAGTGATCATGGTCGTTGGCATAAAATCCTTATGCAGAGTATATTTACTTCCCCAATTTGCCTGCCTGACTCACATTTCACTCGTAGAGTACCGAGGGGAAGAGACTGTGTGGTTTCCTCGATCCAAGATTCTTACAATATAGTGATCAAAGTAACAGTTACTTTAAGTTACGGTAAAGTTTATTATAATAAAGTTTTTGACTTATTCACTAAATCTGGCCAGTAGAGTGCTCTATGTTAAAGGGTCTTTGATTCCAAAGTCCTTTGCTATAAAAGCGGATCATCAAAGATGATCACAATTTCAACAATGTCTAGTTGTATTTTGTATTGAATAAAATCAATAGTTTTGTATGCATGCATGTTTCTATTCTCTGCATTTTAAAAAATAATATTGAAAGTTTTTTGCTTCTTGTATTAAATTTCAGGTTTCTAAATGTCATCGATGTAAGAAAAAATATGACGCGATACCCAGAGAACGGGAATGGGGTGTAGCACAATTTGAATGTGACCAATGTGGAAATGTCTTTATGTAAGTCTTTTACTTAATTATTGATTTTTATCATGATCAAAAATCTACCATATGTCATATAACATATTAGAGAGATACATGGAAAGTTTCCCGTCAATTTGATTGTTTGTGATATTTCTTTTTTTTAAAAATTGATACTTTTTGTACAACGTACTTCACTGAAAAAAAAGAACTAGTGAAAGTCACGAAGAAGACTAGTAAATTTACTGTCCATACAATCACTACCTTAGAAGTAGTTTTACTAGGCATTCGGTAGATTTAATAGATAATATTAGTAAATCTAAGAATTTATAAGTAACTTTCACTCGGTATTTAAGTATCTTTATGACCACTACTCCACTTTTCACTATCTTAGCTAGTAAACAGAGTGATTACTAATCATGAAGAATGCTTTACTAGGCATACTAGTTAAATCAACTAGGTATTTCTCTCAGTGTTTAGGGAAGTTGACGAAGGAAAAGCTGCCATCTTATAATGAAATTTGTGGAGATAACGAACAGTATTCGGGCTCAGTCCATTAAACATTACAAAATAGGAGCGGACTGCAAAACGAACCTCGAAAACATAAGATGTGGGATCAGCTGTCATGGAGGGATGAGCATCCCCCTGCTTCTAATCATATTCGGGGAAAAACGGAAAAAATGCGTTGACAACTCAGTATGCAAACAATGGCCTAACAATAATATTAAAAGAAAAACGAATGCTTCAATTTTGGAAGGTTTGCCAAATGCGTTTCGATATGCAATCAGAATACCTTAAAAAGTATGAACGATGACTTAAAAGATATGCATAAAGATAGGAAATATAAGTATTATGACGATGAAGTTGTGTGTTTTGCTTTTGTTTTTTGTAGGCAGAGTAATGATTATAAAAGTAAGGAATTAAAATAATTAAATTTAGTAACTTTGTATTGTACAGGGTTCCTATCATTCTTGTTACAAAGGATATGCATCTGACACTTTCATATAAAAATATACAACTTCTATGTCCTTAAATTGTTTGACTATCTGACCCATATTTTTTTAAAAAATAGATTAAATAAAAACTATTTGAATATATGGAGTAAAATTTGCTTTACATATTATTATGATTTTATACGATATTATTGGTTACATTTTTTTTCAGAGGATTTGGACAAATGAATAATAATTTTAGCCCTTGTTATGCTTGTGGAAATAAAGTTGCACCTGCTAGAATATTTCCTAAAAGACGTAGTACTGGAGAAAGCAGAAGGCGAAGTACCCATTCCTGTTATGCCCACAACTGCTTTAACAGAGCAGGTAATTATATCCTCCTCAATAAAAACTTTGTCAGAGCAGGACAACAGAGCAGGTAATTATGCCCTCCTCCATAGAAACTTTTTCTGGAAATTTTTATAATAATATTTATAACATTGCAACATGAATTTCAGATCTTATTCTATAGTTTTGCATTCATTTAATAACCGTATTTTGTATCATACTTAAAACTTCAGTAAAGAGCATTGGGTATGTTTGAATTATGACTCTATGGAATTAAAGAAATGGAAATAAAGATTTGGATTTTCTAAAATTGCCTTATAAAGCTAGAAGTAATTACTTGACTGAAAGAATGGTAATGGGGTATTCAGTATATGGGCTGTCAGCTAAGTCAGACTGAGAAACATTCTAAAAGCAAGATTGAATTTTTTGGAGAGGCCAAACCATTATTTTTAAAAACGGAATGAAGTTGACGTTAAATCTTCTATGACGTGTAAATCTAAAAACCTTATATACTGTATGACGTGTCCTACATGTGAGGAAAATTATATAGGACAAACCGGAACCAAATTAGCCGATCGTGTTCGCGTGCACAAACAACAGATTAAGGATCCGACCATACGAAACACGCAATGTAGTGAACACTTTGATTCTTGTGGCAAAGGACATTTTTATATATTTCCTTTTTACAAAATAAAAGAGGAAAATGAACAATTACGGAAAGCCAAAGAACAATATCTTATAAATCTGTTTAAACCAAAATTGAACTGCTAAAAGGAATTTATATCAAATTATTTTATTATGTACATTTTATATAAAATGTCTCCATTATTGTACATTTATGATAGGCGCTTAACTTTGATCAGATGAACTGTTAAACTTTATCTGTGCGCCTCATTTAACTGTGATTATTATTACGTCACAATCATTATGTTTAACGTTGCCTACATAACGTCACGAGAATGACGTCATAATGTAACTTGTTTACAATTTCAAATCTACTGATGAGCCCGCATGGGGCGAAAGCGCTTTAGATAAAAGTTTGAGTTTATCATTTGAATTTGGATTTTATATATATATATATATATACACGTATCTTGATTCTAGTTTAACTCTCTCTGAACTAGATAATTTTTGTTTTCAAAACATTATTTGAAATTAAGAAAAGTTTGAACTTATCTAGGTGATGTTCTACCTGGGATATGTGTTCATCCTAGATCGCAGTGTCCAAAAGTGGTCACACCCAGTGCTGGGTATAAAACAATGCACGTTAGCGGGGTGTTACATATCATATATAAGATATATCAACAGTTAAAAAGTAATAGTGAAGGTGAATGGAAAAAAAAAAACTAAATGTGTGAGAATCTACATTCCTTACTCAAGATGACCTGGCATCATTTTTATCAGGCAGCAGTCGTCCAAACCTTTCAGATATTGAGGAAGACAATTAATAGCACTCATCTAACTGTATTTTTCTTTTTGCTTTTAGCAATTTTTTTTAGGTCAACTTAGATACTTAGTTGACCTATAGTAGTTGTGTTCGTACGTGTCATATCTTTTTATTAAAAAAATTAAAAGGTGGGAGATAACAAACAGATCTAAAAAAAAGACAAAAACAATAGAAAACTATGAAGAGGGCATCAACACTGACCCTATCAACATCCTTGAGGTGGAATCAGGGGTGTAGGGGGAGAAAACATCCCCTGTTGATCAGGCACATCCCCTTTGAGCCCTATGTATTTGATTCGGAACATTCCGTAGTCAAGTTCTTTATGAAAAAACAAATATATATAGAATTATAATAATAATAATAATAATAATAATAAAAATATTATACACTTATCCACTGCTTTTAGCATACTTTTTTTATCAAACTTAGACACTTAGACCTATTCCCCGAGGGCTTGCCCGTATTGTATTGATGTCTTGTCAAGGGTTTAAAAAAATATACAAAGTGGATAAGCGTTTTATTATACTGATGTATAATATAATTTCTGAGGTATAAAAAAAATAAAATAAAAAAATAAACCTGAAAACGTCACAATGCTACTGAAGTCATTATGACATCATCAGTTTAAACATTTATCGCTGGAAATCAAAATTGGCGGCAACAATTGCATGAATATTTTCCGAGGGTGGATAGCAAAAACTATACCCCGGGGTATAGCTTTGCTATACGTGGAGTATAAAGGATAGTTATTTTACCTTCTGAACATTATATAGGAAACATTTTAACAGAAGTATAATAATAATTATTATATAATCATATTTGTGAAGAAATGTTGACTTAAAACAGTTTGTTGAAATTCTTGCAGCATAAAGTTATCTGTCAGCAGTCAGTTTAAAAGCTGACTGTACTCGGAGCATGCTATTTAGTATGGGAAGTGGTGACAAAACAACTTATGTATTACACCCTCCCAATGCACTCCTTGTTGACAGAAAGAAGCTAAGACTTGGGTCTAAACTCCCACATAGAAATGTATAGGGTATGAAAAATAACATTTTAAAGGATAAAACGCCTATAAAATGTCAGATCGATAAGTTATATACCTCTTACATCAAAGATTTAAGTGTTTTAAAAGCAATGCCGGAAACAGAATTTGTTAGCATAATGGTGTGAACATTGTTTTCCCTTTTAATGATAAACAATGTATCATGAACGTTTGAAAGAAAAAAATATTTCCAGGAAGAATTATGCTTCAAATTATCAAATTATTCTGAAGATGCCCTCAAAAGGAGTACAAAATAAAGTGTTTTTTTCCTCGACGAAATGATTTTTAACAAACGAGAAAAAAGAATATGTTAAAAATGATCAGCAGGAAAAGAAATATTTTTTTTGAAATTCATATACTGATTAGGTCCTGCCTCTTTAAAACCAATATTTAATGTAGTGACATAATTTTAAGGCTTCATAATGTTCAAATGACATTGAAATGTTATACATATACTGTACAACTGATTTATGTATATACGTTAAACCTATGAACTGTATGGTTCTTGGCAATAAACAATACAATGGTTTGCTCATTCAAAATCATTTGCAACTTATTTTCATAGATAAGAATTCGTACATGTATTACTCAACTTCTTCATATATTTCTTATTAAACAGATTAAAATGTACTGTATCTTCATGGAATACTTTTCCAACATTTCTTTTTAATTTTACCAAATTAATTTGTGAATGCCTATATATAACATATGACCTTTTCTATTAAAATGTTCTTACTGGTGCAGATTATAACAACTTAAAACAGAGTTGAGACTTAAAATTATAAATTGTAAGAGGACTTAAATTTACATAGGGAGAATCCATCATCATGTTATACTCAGTCATTCGTACTAGTGTGTTCTCTTAACTGGCCATAACTTTCTTATTTTTCAATGAAATTTGGCAAGTATGGATTTATTTTTCTTGTAAAAGTATGGTCTTTCTTAATCTAAAATGATAAATTGTAAAACTGAAAGAGGACATAAATTTACATAGGAAGAATCCATCATCATGTTATACATATAGTCAATCGTACTAGTGTGTTCTCTTAACTAGCCATAACTTTTTCATATTTCAATGAAATTTGGCAAGTATGGTTTTATTTTTCTTGTAAAAGTATGGTCTTTCTTAATCCTAAGTGATTAAATTGTAAAACTAAAAGAGAACATAAATTTATATAGGGAGAATCCATCATCATGTAATACACAGTCAGTCGTACTAGTGTGTTCTCTTAACTGGCCATAACTTTTTCATATTTCAATGAAATTTGGCAAGTATGGTTTTATTTTTCTTGTAAAAGTATGGTCTTTCTTAATCCTAAGTGATTAAATTGTAAAACTAAAAGAGAACATAAATTTATATAGGGAGAATCCATCATCATGTAATACACAGTCAGTCGTACTAGTGTGTTCTCTTAACTGGCCATAACTTTTTCATATTTCAATGAAATTTGGCAAGTATTGGTTTTATTTTTCTTGCAATGGCATAAACTTTCTAAATCTTACATGATAAGTTGTAAAAGAACTGAAATTTACATGGGGAGAATCCATCATCATGTCATATTCAGTCAATCGTACAGGTGTGTTCTCTTAACTGGCCATAACTTTTTCATATTTCAATGAAATTTGGCAAGTATGGTTTTATTTTTCTTGTAAAAGTATGGTCTTTCTTAATCTAAAATGATAAATGATAAATTATAAATTTCTTGTATTTAGTAATTCTAACTTTATCAAAGTATTTGTTTATATATATTTTTTGAAACATTTAAGGAAATGAGAGACTGTTTTCTACTCAAGGCTATAAGTTTTAAAAATTTAATAAATTATTGAAAACGGAGGAGCTTTATAGCTGCCTTATAGACATAATTTATATTCAAAAACAAATATTAGATTTTATATAGTCAGTCCGTACCTGTATGCGTATTGAATGAATTTATTAGAGTCCTTGATCATGCTGACCAGTGAAACCTTGAGGGCTATAGGTCTTTTCTTATTTTATTTCATGTAAATTTGCTTGGTGTGGTATTTTTATTCCATAACACCTTCCAAACGCTACCAGTTCGTCTTCTTTCATCTCTTTTTTTATGATTTAAATTTATTAAGTACTGTTCCGTGTAAGAGTCAGGCAGGGTCCCATGTTGGGGTTACACACTTTAATTTTTGAATCTGTTTATTTCTTCTCAATTTTCATGCAAATTAAACATATTGAAATATTTGAATAAGAAAAAGTTCATTTCGTTTGTATATTTGTGTTATTTACACTCAAGTTATATTGATGGATTTGGTTAAATTCCTATATAATATCATTACAATTCATCCTTTTTGTATCAATAAAACACAGAAAAACATCATTGCATATAGTTTTCCATGATAAAAATATTTTCACCTTAGTATATGCTTTTATATAAAATTCTTGATTTTATGTGTTTTCTTCATGCTAACAAGTATACAGCTTCCAAAGTTAAGCCCCTTCCTCACATTTAACTGTAAGAGTTATCTCCCATTTCCCATAATGCAACAGGGCATCAGTAATGGATGCCTCCATTGAAAAATGTTCTATCAGTGTTTATACTTCAAATTGCTGTTCTATTTCACCTTTGCATCCATCAGAAAAAAAATTGATTAGATTAAAAGACTGTAAGAGAGGTATTGTATCGCATCTGTTGAAAAATGGGATTCGATCTGGCATGAAAGGAGAGGCTGATGTGTTCAGTGAAGCAGACCTAATATGTAAGCGTGTGGGACTTTTCACTGTTGAGGAAACATTTACGGTATGTCCCTATCACAGAGACTTTCTTGGTGTACATTGGCGCGCCAAGACCACTTGTCAGTATCCTAACCACCAGGGAAATGCCAAGCCGTATCGGAGTTTCAACTCTCTTATGTCTAAGCGGATGGTTTCCGAGTTTGGTACTTTAGTGCCTATAGGTTCTGGTAAGTTAATTTATATTCCCTTAGATAATTTAATCTAAATTTTAAAAATATCTTAAGGAAAGCACAGGAGACTTGCACAGCTCTTCTAGATGCCATTGCTCCTCATCAAGGAGAGATACTTAAGAAGATGACATTACCAAAGTCGGAAGCTGATGATGATGACCTTTTTCGTGTTGTCGGTGAACTGTACCACAATATCAAGGATGCAGATGTGAAATGTCAACTTTTGTCTCTAATAGTAAATAGATGTTCAAAGGCTGAACTGTTGACAAAGTTTCCAGAGGTCACAAAACATCAGATAGATAAAGCCAGGAGACATGCTTTCGTAAATGGTCCTGGATCAGGTGTTCAGCAAACAGTATCTTCTCAACACAGACAAAGAATCAATTTTGCAAAGTTACAGCATGCAGTGGAATTTTTCAGTGATCCATCATTCAACCAGATTTCATCATACACTACAAGGAACCTAAAGCTAGATTCTGGAGACACCTTAGTAATTCCTGATGTAGTTCGGACTATGATCCATTCAAATTTGATCAAACTTTACAACACATACTGCGCCAATAATAACTTTGAGCCTCTCAGTGAGTCCACTCTATATGAAGTCCTAAATGCATGCAGTGCATCAAAACGGAAGTGCCTGAAAGGACTTGATAACATTGCTGTTGATGGATCTTCTGCATTTGACAGTCTGACTAGCTTAGTTGATAAACTTGATGAGCCTCAGCAATGGAAAAAAGAACTGAAGGAAAAGCTGTTCAATGCTCGACTGTACTTA